TTTTTTTGAGACGGAGTCTTGCTGTGTCGCCAGGCTGGAGTACGGTGGTGCGATCTTGGCTCACTGCAACCTCCAACTCCCAGGTTCAAGCAATTCTTCTGCCCCAGTCTCCTGAGTAGCTGGGATTACAGGCACGCGCCACCACGCCCAGCTAATTTTTCTATTTTTAGTAGAGATGGGGTTTTGCCAGGATGGTCTCAATCTTCGATCTCATGATCTACCTGCCTTGGCTTCCCAAAGTGCCGGATTACAGGCGTAAGCCACCGCGCACGGCCAAGGAATCTTTTCAAAAGGCAAATCGGGTCATGTTACTCTCCTACTCAAAACCTTTCAATGGCTCCCACTGTCTTTAGGACAAGGCCCAAGCTCCTGATACAGGTCTTCAAACACTCTCCCAATCTGGCCGTTGCCTCCCACGGGTCTTCCTCTCCTGCCGCTCTCCTGCCCCTGCTCTGCCTCAGCCCCGCCCTCTCTCTCCAGTATCCCAAGGGCTGCTGCCTTCGGGCCTCGGTGCTCATGGTTCCTTCTCCCTAGAATGCCGTGTCTCCAGCCCTCATGCTGCCGGAGGCTTCTCTTCCTTCAGTCTCTGCTTCAGTGCAAGGAGGACCCTGCCCACCTTCCCACTGACTGTGGTCAGAAGCTTAATGTCGTCAGAATCACCGTCCAAACCTCTCCTCTTCTCTCCCCAGTTCCAGCCTCCTGGTTCCCCTCATGGGATTCTGCAACCACCTGCAAACTAGATTCTCTTCCCTTCTGTCCACCCTGCTCCAGCCCATTCACCAAATGACTCTTTAGGGCCTATTTGGTGCCAAAGTGACTTTGCCAGGCCACGGGTCGGATCTGCTCCCTGTGTCTCTGCAGCACGTAGCATGTGCCCAGCACTGTGTGTTGATGTTAACTCGCTCACTATACCTCACGCGACCCTACAAGGCAGGTGACGAGGCACACAGAGGTAGAGGGACGTGTCTCGGGTCACACGGCTGGGAGACGCGAGGGCTGTAAGGTATAGTGTGGAACCCGGCGCCACCATCTCGGCCCTCTGCTGTGTCTCCCAACTCACTGCTGTTGAAGGCCCCGCTGCCTTTCACCTGCTCGCCTGGCCCCATCACGCCCATCTCCCCTCCCATCTCCTCCCTGCCAGCTGGTGTTGCCCTTCCTCCACCCTCTTCTCCAAGCCCACCTTGGCCTTCCAGCCTTAGAAAAGCCTTGTTCAGGCTTTCCCAAACATGTCAGTTTCTGCTATCTCTGAATACTTCCCAGGTAATTTTCTTTTTTCTTATTTTTAGAGACAGGGTTATTCTGTCGCCCAAGCTGGAGTGCGGCGGTGCAGTCATAGCTCACTGCAGCCTCCAGCACATGGGCCCTAGCCATCTTCCCACCACTGCTCTGGAGTAGCCGGGACCACAGGCATGAGCCACTGAGAGGTGGCCCCGTGGCGCCTGCTCTCTGCTCCACAGTAAACTGCTAATTATGGCTGTTCCTGGCCATCATTTCCTTAACATTTCTCTTGCAATCAATTCACTTTTTAAAAAATGTACATGTATTTATTTTTAAAAAGCCATTTCTTGTTACTCCTATAAAAGAAAAACCAAAGTGAATGCAGCAAAATAAAGTTATTTAGCTTCTGCTGGGGCCCTTTGTGCAAGAGGGGGTGGCAAGGGCCAGAGAGGTGTGAAGGGCACACGCACACCCACGGGACACTTGGCCTCTGACACGGTCAGGTCCCAAGGCTGCTGAGAAAGGAATCGCTGGCTGGGTGCAGTGGCTCACACCTCTAACCCCAGCACTTTGGGAGGCTGAGGTGGGCAAATCACAAGGTCAGGAGTTCGAGATCAGCCTGACCAACCTGGAGAAATCCCATCTGTACTAAAAATACAAAAATTAGCCAGGCGTGGTGACACGCGCCTGTAATCCTAGCTACTTGGGAGGCTGAAGCAGGAGAATCGCTTGAAACTGGGAGGCAGAGGTTGCAGCGAGCCAAGATCACACCATTGCACTCCAGCCTGGGAGACAGAGTGAGACTCTGTCTCAAAA